ATATACATGGAAGCTATCTCAGTCCATATCACAAGGTATACACTGTCTCATGCTACACATGTCAGTAGTATTTCAAGAAATGACAATGGATCGACGTGTTAATAACACAAGCACCGGTTTACAACAATAAAAGTACAGAATATCCTTATAACAACCTTGGCCCTGCTCGCTTCATGAACTTGCGCTTGAAGAGTAACGAGTGAACATTAAAGGGAAGAACAAGTGGGTCACGTTGAAAAAACTTATTTCGTCTTCTGTAAGATATTTCTTAAAAAATAAAGTCCGTTTTATCTAGAAATAAAAAGTATTTCACTATAAACTTGGCGATATGTCACTCCCGGCTATTTCATATTATGACCACTTTTTTACTCTCTAACTTTCAAGGTACATATGATTGTTATTCTTAAATCACTACATCTTAGAAATCGATACATAAACATGATGCTTACAGCTGAACACACGTCAGTGACAAAGAGACGATGCTCAGCGAAGGCAAAGCTCCTCAAATATATATGCATGTGCTTCCTGGCAAACGGCCGTCAGACTAAAGCTTGACACAAGTCTCATCACAACCTTTGGAGGCTTACTACTCCTCCTGTATATTTATGACAATAAAATCTTCGATTCTCAACATATATATAGTATGAACACACATAAATGCATTCCGTAAATTGCGTGCAAATGCTTCACAATTTCGGTTAAAAATGAAAGGAAAAACTTTTATGTTGTAATGAACACTAAAGTCCTCTAAAAGAGGTTGGTCATCTGGTCAAATGATTTGTCTTAACAACAGTCTTGAAAGTGTGTTTATCAGAAAAAAAAAATCATATCCTGACGCAAACACCTGCTATAGATTGACCCGATTTTGAAATATATACACACACTAATTTCACATTTACGCATAATAGGTTAGCACACACTCCGACTAGGGAAGGCATTTTACGCCACAGACTAATGAAAGAACATTATGTATATTCCTTAGTTTGTCTTGGTTACTTAAAATGTGATTGTAATATTTGATATACTATTATATTTGTTACTTCCACCTGTTTACTAAATTTCGCCGTCACCAAGACTGTCCTCTCAGTCATCAACACTATCACCGGAATATGTGATTTTGACGACAGTTAGCACTATCCTTGTTGGCAACATCACGTTTTGTGGTCCAGTGACCAATGAGGGGTATTTGTATGCCACACCTCACACAATGATTTTTTTTTGATTAAAAAAAAGTCCTATTGTACTCCGATTCAGTTTGTTTCCAACATTACCACTTCACGTCTGAATTGTATTCTGTCACATTCCAAACTGTAATATTACATTAGTATATTTCATTTACTAAAAACGTCTCTTTCGTTTATACGAAAAATATGATATTTTTTTTATCACTAATAGCTGCCTTCACTTACAGTACAGTTATTTTCATAGATGAAGTATTTCAAACGTCTGATTTCGATGTCACAACAGCCTACTTCAAGAAATTCAAGATTTCGAAGATTCGCTTGTGGCAGTCAGTAGTTTAGCGAACGCCCCGTTTTCCTTCTTGGCAAGTTCCTTCGGATCTCCATCTTCTACGAGGTGCCCGTTTTCTAGTACAAGGACACGGGGGTACTCAAGGAGACTGCTGACGCCGTGCTGTGGAAAAAAAAAAACAATATAGGTAATTTCAATTTATGTTGCCGTTATGGATAACGAATTTTTAGGCATGTGAAATGCAGCATGCCAAACATAGCATTTCCTTGCATAAATTTCCTATAAACATAAATATGCATTTACATATCATTCTGTGAACAAACAACATAACAGACCTGTATTAAATATTTTCTATCATAAACAAATAAACAAAAATAATAACAAGGACAGATGCGAAAGTACGCAGCTAGACAAACCAACGAAAAATTATATGAATATAACAATCCTCAGAAAGTGAACGAGGAACAGCGACGTGTGCATCCCGACAGAGCTTCAGCTCGAAGGTGCAACAGATAAGGGCTCTCGCTCCGCCCACCTCGCACGCCTCGCCGCTGGTGAAGAAATTAAGATTTAATTCTCTTAATGGAAGAAGGGGCGAGGGAGAGGGTGACTATTGTCTTTCTCTATAGATCCTATTTATCGCCGTGTGTTTCTCCCCCTCATTTCCAAGCTGACGGTTTTAGAGTTAAATCATTTAATTGATTTAAGCCATGCAAGTCGATATGAAATTCTGGATAAGATTGGGGCTGATTTTCTTAGACTGGTTCGGTAATGAGAACGAGAGCGGGAAGCGAATTGCATTCCTCGGATATCTGTTGTCGCTTGGCGCGCCCAAAGGAACAACATGGGATACCCGGTGTTTCCAAGACGATATGAAAACAAAGGAAAAGTTTTTAAGATCATAACCGTAATAACGTATCAACAACACCAGGGGCACGGGCAAACAACAATAAACAACGCGTGTCAGCAACTATGTCATGGACGACGATACAAACTGCAGTTGCAATGAACGAGCTCGAGTAGCATC